TTAAATTAAAAAACAACAACTACAAAAACCTGTTCATCTCCGTTTGATTAAATTTTTAAACAGGCACCCTCCAGTTAAGTTGCAAACAGTCCTCACATTCTGAATTTGTCTCAAAAGTGCATTCATGTTTCCAATGAATATGTTCCTTCAAAATGAGTACGGTAATATACAAAATTGAAAGCTTATGCATACCCTAGACATTACTAAAGAGCATTCAAGGTGTATTTCATGTTATGTTCTTTTTTTATTTCACAGTTTACCTGCAATTTTGAGGATGGTTTTGGCCATGGGCCAGCTCATGAGGTAGTCAAATACCAATTCTTCGTCTTGTATCTCATGTCCGTTTTCATCTTTGGGCCATGACTCCATCACAACAACTGACATTAGTTTTAAAAATTTTGTGAAATCATATCTTGTCATGAGGTTTGACATAGCTGATGTATCCTGAGTGGAAAGAAAAGAAAAAAGAAAAATAAGACAAGCAGAAACATCTCAAAGATTCATTTATTAACTTGCAAATTGTGCCTGTAATGATCATTTTTACTGTACAGAAAGAAGTAATTACAATTAAAACTAAGTGTGTTTTGCATTTGTCATAAATACTAATTAATTAAAAATGCAATATGAATTTAAAAGCAACAGTTGGAAAAAATGTGGAAAAGTGGCAAACTATTGGTGTTGGTTATAATTTCCATTTGTAAGAAAACAAGTGAAATGATTTTACTCTTCACAGCTTTCATGTTGATAAAAAGAGAGAGAAAAAGGAAAATACTTGTAGATGTAGACAACTTTCAAAAGACCCACAGACCCACGTCAGGTATGTTGGTAGTTCTCTTCCTCTTCACCGCCATGCACAAGACCAAAGAGTCGTCAAAGGAGACGATTGTAGAACTGCACAAGGCTGGAATGAGCTACCATCAGCAAGAAGCTTGGCAAGAAGGTAACAACTGTTACTGTCATTATTTGAAAAGAGAAGAAATATAGAATGACCATCGGTTTCCCTCAGTCTGGAGCTCCATGCTCAAAAGAGCTTGTCTCATGTGGTCAGGATCATCATGAGGTGGTGGATCATCTCCAAATTTAGCTATTTTAAAGATGTGAAGGCAGTTGTGACCAGAGTGATCAAAAACACAACTGGTCACATACTACATTGTAATGGATGGAAATTTTGCAGAACTTTCAACTCAACCTTCAATATTTGGATGAACAGAAATGCTGAGTATGACCCAAAGAACATTATCTCCACTGTCCAGGATGGAGGTGGAAACATTTTTTTGCTGAATATAAAGGATGACTTCACCACACTGAGGGGCCAATGGACAGAGCCATGTACTGTAAAACCTTAGACGAGAACCTCCTTTCCTTAACCAAAACCATGGAAGTTGGGTTGTGGCTGGGTCTTCCAGTGGCTTAAGAAGAGCCATATTAAGTTAAGGAAGAGTTAGAGTTTCTTTTAAGTGGAGTTGGCCGATACCCTTCCTCAGATAAATGGAATCTTGATAACCAACTTTAAGAAATGTCTTATCAACGTGCTCCCCACCAAGGGTTCTCCATCAAGTCATGGTTTGCTTTAAAATCAAATATTTATTTCACTTAATGTCGTGAAATTAAATTAAACTGAAACCAAATCAACAGTTATGACCTTGATCAATCACAAGTTTAATCACAAGCAGTCGATAAGTGTTTTCCATCTGGAGAGCAATGGTGAGTCTGCGAGCAGGGGTGGGCATACAGGAGACTGAAAGCTGGATGAAGCAGCAGCAGTGGTATGGGTGCTGCACTGGTCTGGTTTGGAGAAGAGCGAGCTTAGTGTGAAAGCAACACTGTCAAAAATCAGGTTCCTCTGCGGTTGACTGTGCTCTCCCTTAGTGAAAGGTGTAGGAGTAGTAGGTGTAGCTCCTCCACACTGACAGGAGCCAATTAAGGTGTTTTGGGCATCTGCCTCCTGGATGCCTTCTAGGTGAGGTCTTCTAGACATGAGGTACATGAAGCCTCAGAATCTCATCTCTGCTTTTTTGCAGATAATGTGGTTCTGTTGGTTTCTTTAGGTGGTGGCCTCCAGCTCACACCAGAGTGGTTCAAGATTCAAGATTCAAAGTGTTTATTGTCATGTGTCACAAAAGAAAGGGCATTTCTCTGTACAATCTTCTTTCTTTGCTATCCACCCACAGATGGCGATTAATATATACAGGGGAGTGTGAAGCAGCAGGAATGAGAACTAACATCACTAAGTCTGAGGCTTCAGTCAGAAAAGGGTGGTGCCCACTCCAGATCAGAGACGAGATGCAACCCCAGGTGGAGGAGTTTAAGTATTTAAGGGTCTTGTTCACAAGTCAGGGGAGTGGGAGGTCAACAGACAGCTTTGTACTGCTGCTACAGTGATGTGGGTGCTGTACTGGTCCGTCGTGATGAAAAGAGAGCTGAGTGTAAAAGCTCTTGTTTACCAGTCGATCTACATCCGTACCTGCACCTACAATCACAAGCATTGGGTAATGACTGAAAGAACAAGATTGTGGATACAAGCGGTGGAAATGGGCTTTCTTCAAAGGGTGGCTAACCTCTCCCTTAGAGACAGAGTGAGGAGTTTTGCCATCTGAGAAGGGCTCAGAGTAGAGTTGCTACTCCTCCACATCGAAAGGTGCCAGTTGAGGTAGGAGCCAGACAAGATGGAGGAGTTGGCCAGGAAGAGGGATGCTGGGCTGCTGCCCCCCAACCCGGCCCCGGATAAGCAGAAGAAAATAGATGGATGGACGGAATAAGAAAAAAGGAAACATGGACAATATCCCCTGCAAGGCAATTGTCCTCTGCACCCCAAGAGTGTGAAAACATTGTTGCTTACATGGGTCTTACAGTTATATTACATGACATTACTAACCATTTGTCATTGATTGAAATCATACCTGGCAAATATGTGCAGCAGCCTTCATTGCACAGTTCTCCATTATGCTGCACAACAATGGACTTTCCTTGCTCATCTCACTCATCTTGTTACAGTATATTCCAATTTGATCCACAGGATGTTCCTGGCACACAAGCACAGAGCCTCACTATATTTTCCAGTTTCACATTACCATGAAAATATAAACATAATGCAGTCTTACCTCTCTCAGTTTGTCTTGAAAATCATCCATGAATGTGGTTCTCCATAATGAAGTGTGTTCCTCATAATTAAAAGATATTGAGAGTAATTTGCTCCATGCCTAAAAGAAAAATGAGGATTTTAATAAACACGGGCCGTGTCTGACCTGCAGGTCAAGCAAGTTTTAAAATATCTGATCAATATGTTAAAATATCTCCAATTTCCCCAAATTTGCTGCAGGTAATACATTTGTTAATGGTATTTTAAGACTAGCATAAAAAGAAAGATGACCAATACAAGATTACCTTGAAAATCCATCATTCGAGGTCATGGCATTTCATATTACTTGCTTACCATTTCTCTCACCACCAGTGGCCACCGACTCATATTTATTTTTAACACTCAATCTGGGTGGAGCGCCCACTCCAGGTCGGGGATGAGTTCCTGCCCCAAGTGGAGGAGTTCAAGTATCTCGGGGCCTTGTTCGCGAGTGATGGGAGAAGGGAGCCGGAGATTGACAGACGGATTAGTGATGTGGACGCTGCACCGGTCCGTTGTGGTGAAGAGAGAGCTGAGTGTAAAAGCAAAGCTCTCAATTTACCGGTCGATCTACATCCCTACCCTCACCTATGGCCACGAGCTGTGGGTAGTGACCGAAAGAACGAGATTGCGGATACAAGCGGTGGACACGCTGGAGAGATTATATCTCTCAGCTGGCCTGGGAACGCCTTGGTGTTCCCCCAGATAAGCTAGAGGAGGTGGCTCGGGAGAGGGAGGTCTGGGCTTCTCTGCTTAGGCTGCTGCCCCCGCGACCCGGGTCTGATAAAGTGGAAGAAGATGGATGGATGGAAATTTAATCTAATTACATTTTTTATTTATATAGTATTGTGGCGGGGTGTGGTGTTCGGTGCTGTGCAGGGAAGGTGGACGCACCTGCACGGCATCCGCAATCACTGTCCACCTTCCCTGCAAGGCACTGCAGACAACGCCCAGCCACAAGCATCAAATCTTCCCTTCCGTGAATTGCTATCTTATTCCGGTGGAGGGGTTTATATGTCCCAGGGATCCCAGGGGCTATATTATAGGGAGTCTTTTTGCCCCCTGGTAGGGTCTTCCATGGCAAATTGGTCCTAGGACCAGAGAAAGAGCAATTCAAAAAACCCTATGAGGGAAAGATCTGGGTAACAGTTCTTTTGCCCAGATAGAGCCAGGCCCAAGGGCAAGCCCCTGGTGGCCATGTCTTAGTCCATGGGGCCTGGCTGGGCACAGCCAGAGAAGGGGACATGGGCCCACCACCCACAGGAGGCGCTCTAGGGGTTGGGTGCAATGCATGCTGGGTGGTGGCCAAAGGCGGAGAACCTGGCAGAGTGATCCCCAGCAACCGAGATTGGCAACTGGGACATGGAACATCACCTCTCTGGTGGGGAAGGTCAATGATCGCAGATGCAGGAGAGATTATATCTATCAACTGGTCTCAGAATGCCTTGGTGTTCCACCAAACAAGTTGAAGGAGGTGGCTGGGGAGAGGGGGGGTCTGGGCTTCTCCACCCCTGCGACCCCTGATAAATTGAAGCAAATGGAGGGATGGATGGTAGGGACATCGAATCTCAACAACAGTCACCTTGAGGTGCTTTGTATTGTAAGGTATAAGACCCTGCAATATCACAGACAAATACCCCAACAATCAGATGACCCCTATGAGCTATCACCTGGCGACAATGGAAGTAAAAACTCCCTTTTAAGAGGAAGAAACCTCGAGCAGAACCAGGCTCAGGGAGGGCCAGTCATCTGCTATGAGGGTGAGAGGAGTGTGGACAAAAGAGACTCTGTGGTAGAGAGGCAGAGATTAAAGTGGTGAGGGAAAAAGGTGAGTGAAAAATAAGCAGTGCATCATGGGAAGCCCCCAGGTGTCTAGACCGATTGTAGAGTAACTCAGGGAAGATTCAGGGTCATCTGATCTAGCCATAACTATAGGCTTTGTCAGAAAGTTGTACTGTATTTCCCACACTATAAGGTGCACTTAAAATCCTTAAATTTGTTAAAAACTCGACAGTGCACCTTATAATCCAGTGCGTCTTATGTATGAATTCTGGTTGTGCTTACTGATCTCGAACCGATTTTATGTGGTACACCGCATTCAAAAGTCTGTCAAAAAATGTTTTACGACTTTGGTAAGCTACAAAGCCACACTGCTTGATGGATTGGCGGAGCATTACGGCTACCATAGTCATGAGCCTTGCAGAGTAATCGGGGTCCAAAACTCCATCCGGTTCAGGTCCCAAAGCCTAACGAACACTGCGGCATCACTGAGAGTTAAAAAATGTCTAAATTCTTTAATCTTTAATAGAATGATCAGCGTTGCTGCTTTATCAGGTGTAGCAATTAAGTTTAACATCCAGGCATCCACAAAAACAGGATTTATTAAATTCAACGGAGTTAGAAGTTAGC